TAATACTAATTCGGTAGTTTTGATTTCAGTTAGTGTGCAAGTGTAAATATGTTCGAATTAAATCTTTCACAATTAGAATCTTCCAACACAAGTCTACAACCATTTTAGGATAAAAATATAAAATGAGCAAAATTTTGTCATTAACAATTAACAATTTTGCTCTTATTATATGTTTGAACTATTGAATTGTTTGCACTTTCTGTAGAATAATGAGGAGAAGCACTCTTGACTGAAACTATATCACGTGTCTCTGGAAGTAGATCAGGATGATTACAAAACTTTTCCTTATTGCTAGTAGTGTCAAATGTCTGGACTTTAGGGCTGTAGATACTAATATCATGAAGGAAAACCTATATGCCAAAACACGTGTTTATCTTCTGGATCTTACGTGATCAGCCCAAATTATATTAGAAAGTGTATAGCCCAACAATAAGACCTCATCGAGCCGGGAAAATCGCTGCTGCCATAGATGCGCCAGCAACCACGGACCTGTAGGGTCTGCCATTTAGGCCAGCCATAAGGACCACTTGGTCGGCCGACTTATCTGCCACCTCTTTAAAATCAAAATAAAATAAAAAGTAAAAAAAAAGAGGAAAATTTACATACATAGGACCCAAACCTGTTATGCACCAACAAAACTTGTCGGCCACCCTTTGAAAGACCAAATCACCTACCGCGCAGCTACCCACTGGCCGATCGCCACCCACTCCAGCCGGCAATCGTGGCCAGTCAAGACTTAAAAAACCAGAAATTTACATAAAATAGCACCAAAACTTACCAGCCGTCACACCCGTCGGTCGACCACCCACTTGACGCCCACGAATGCAACAATAAGAAAGAACTCCATAAGGACTGGTTCGAAAAGGAAAAAGACTGAAGTACCCCTCATGACCCACTTTTAAGAGAAACATAATTGTGATCTCATGGGCATATAAATCAACCAAATATGAAGATTTTTACAAACGGTTGGAAACAATTTCATATGACTTGAGTTCTATTATTTATTGAATTTTTTTTGTAGAAATGCTGAAGCAAAATTCATATATATTTTTTTTCCAAACAAATTGTTTAGCAGTTGCCTCATTTATCATTACGAGTGGCACATTTAGCAAAATTATTATTTTGTCCTCATTGCCGGTAGTGCTATGTATGCAATTATGAAAGTTTATGTGTGAGATATGTAAATACATAAAACTTGTGTGCTGCTTATATCATTTTTTTTTTTCAAAATAAATACGAAATTTACATACATGCCACACAATTCTTAGGAGCATATCTAACACCTAAATTCAATGCATGAAAATAATAGTTTTGGGAATTAGGTATAGAAATATATAAGAATTGTATGGTATGTGTGTAAATGCCCCAAAATATATTTGAAATTAACTATTTGCAACTAAAGTTGAATTCACTTCAAAGTTAAATTACAAATTATAATTTCATATAGAATCTAAGGGTCTGTTTGGGGCAACTTATTTGGTGCGGTGGCGTTTTGAAAATGCGCTTGATCTGTTTGGATAAACTGCGTTTTGACAGCTTATGTGTTTTCAAAACGCTTTTTCACACCGCACCGGGAACTTTCTGGCAGTGGTTTAACTTTTTTAAAAAAAATAAAAATTTGTAATAGTCATCACACCTAGCTTGTAAGCAAATTATTTTTAATCAGTTTATCAACAAATTATTCAATAAGCTGCAGCTGCCACAAACAAACCCTAAGTTGCTTATACAGTGACTCATGCTCCTCTCTATCATCTAACCACTAAAAAATGCAATTTTCGAAAAAAGTATTATGGAGATATTTAAATTAAAATTTATTCATATTATATCTGAACACTTTTGGTTGTTTTGAAATTAATGTAATAAATAAATAAATATATATATATATAATATTACATTACTTTGAAAACTGGTTCAATGATTTTGAGATTTATCATTTTATTTTTTAATGAGAATGTTTTAATAAAAATATTCAGCTAATTTATTGAACGAAAATGTATATTTATGTAATTTTTTTTATTTTTTATATAAAAATGAAAAATATGTACATATCACACAATTCTTATGTATTTATACATCTAATACCTAAATTTGATATTTACAATTATAACATCGATGCATAAAAATGTGTATTTTCTTTTTAGGGGGTGTCTGATAATCCGATTTGTGCACAATTTACACGCGATTTAACAAAGGCCAGAGAATTTAAATTTGTATTTCGCTAAATCTAATTATCCTTCTCTTCCATTACTTTATTAACGTAATTTGAAATTTATTAAATCTGATTATTATTTAAATTTAATGGATTTAGCATAAGAAGAGTCATGGGAGTGAATTTATGGGAAAGACATAAACAAATTTAATAAATCTAATCTTAAATAGAACCAAATATTATTATAGATTTACATTATTATTGAATTTAGGGTGCGTTTGGGGCTGCTTTTTCTGAGCGGTGCGGCGGAAGGCCGCAGAAACAAGTCGTTTGGCGCGGTGTTTGATTTGCGGCGGCCGCGAATCTGAGGGAGAAGCGGGCCGCGGGATCGACCCCGCTTCTCCGCTTCGCTCCCGCGGCCCCGTCTAGCTTCTTCCACATTTTACCTAGGTGCCCTCGATTCTGCCTTCCGTTCGGCTTGCGATTCTGCGATTCCCCGATTCCTGCTCTCAATCCTTCTTCATTCCCCGTTTCTTGCGATTTCTGTCATCCTGTGATTCCTTGTTCTTCTTGCGATCCTGTGATTCCCGGATTCCTGTGACCTTTTGTTTTTCTTGCGATCCTACGATTCCTGTTACTCTGCTTCATCATTTCAGAGCTGGAAGGGTTAGAAAAAGGGCTTGAAGAAAATCTCCTGCTTCGCTATGCCCAGGTGCTCTCCGTCGTTTGCAAGTCCTGAAGATCATCTTCTTCGTCTCATCACTTCAAGTTACAAATACAGGGGTCTCAGTTGGCATTTTGAGCTTTGAGAAATACCCAGGTTAGATTCCAAGACCCATAAGTGATATTTGTGTGATTTTCTTTATTAATAATTTCGAACATTTCTGGATGTTTGAACTCATTAGAAAGTTGTCGGCATTCTTTCAATCACCTTCTAGTTTGGAGAGGAGAGAATTTCTCTTTCAAGTATTGCTATTATGTCTTGTAAAATTCTAGTTCAGGGTTTAAAAATTAATGTTGCACTTTTACAGTGTGGTTTGCAAGTCAATCGTCAATGCCTGTTTTGTTTCCCTAGCCCCGTATGAAGTGGCTTCTACTGACGGCTTATTCTTTATGCTTATTTGATGTGGATAAAAGTTATGAATGAAAATATATTCCAATTTGGGAAAAAAAGATTGGATACACATCTCTTTAATTGGCTTTATTTTAAGTATTCATTGATATTTGATAAAAAAAATAGTTAAATTAATTAGTTTGTTAATAATATGTTAAATCATAAATGAAAAATATATTTAATATTTTCGTCCCACCAAATATAAGAACATTCTTATTACAAGCCTTTTATTTCATATGTTCACCTATCTAACAAGTTAACATTTTAAAATATTTTAATCAAGTTATTAATCAAGTTAAATTACATTTATTACATAATTAACAATTTCAAGTTCAACTAATTTATCACATAAAAAATTTTGCGTATGGAGTTATCAAAATTTCACTGTTATAGTCTTTTCTTAAATAACTTTATCAAACAAGGGCAGAATAGTTATTTTTCCAGAAACAGCTGTTCTGCAGGTGTTTTCAAGCAACTGCACCAAACAGAAAACCAGCTTTCTCGCAGTTGCTTCCCCACATCAATTTCCTGGGTCAGCGCAGTTGCAGCAGAAAAGCTGCAGCTGCGCCAAACAAAGCCTTAATGAATCCGGTAACATAAATCTTATAGGCAGCCAAACACCCCCATTCTAAGGTATTATCATGATATTTTTAAAAATTTGAATGATGTACATGTAAATATAAATATTATATATTGGTAAATAAATACATAAGAATTGTGTGATATTTACATAAATACCCTTTTTATTAGCGCAAAATTTGTTCAAAGTGAAAGTCTAAAGTCATAAGTCGCGGCAAGGATTTCTGACCGACTTTATGGCTTGCGGTTCTTTTCTTCTGTGCGAAGCAAAATGCTATGCCTTTACATTTGCAGAATTAACGGTAAACAAACCAATATTAGACTATGCACCTCCACGCATCATATCATACCATACGGATGGCAAAATTATATATTTTCCAGATAAATATAATACGCAAATAATTAATTAAAATTTAAATTCTATTTATTTAAAAAAAATGTATTAAATTTGAAAGTTTATATTGATAAAAAATTTTGGTCTTAAAGTTTCAATCAATTTTATGGCATTTTTAATTCCCTAAATTACGAATAAAAAAACCGATCAAGTGATTAAAAATTTTTACTACTTATCATAATAGCTATTTTTTGAGTATGAGAATTGAATAAATTTTTAAAAACATACAAATATATATGAACGGATAAAATTTAGTTCGTTGTCGGCTCGTTAACTTAACGAACGCGCCAGACAGTAAAGCTTTGCGAATAACAGACTATTTTGAGGGGAAAATATTTGCGTACATAAGACATACACAGCGCTGCGTACATCAGGGGTTATTCAGTGGGTACAGGAGGGTTATATTTGGGTTATACCCCCTGTAACTTCCGTGTAACTTATATGTTCTCATGAAACTACAGAAACACGAAACTCATTTGTAGGTTACAAGGAGGTTACATGGAGGTTACAGGGGGGGTATAATCCCGATATAACCCTCCTGTACCCCCTGAATAACCCCCGGACGTACGCAACACTGCGTATGTCTTATGTACGTAAATATTTTCCGTTTTGAGAGCCCTGCCTATTCATATACATGTAATGGTGTTTTGCATGATATTTTTATAATTAATTAAGAGTGTGGTGGTTTGTATGTAAATTGCCCAAAATTATTTTTCTCAACAAATCTATAATTACTTCCTCGAGTTCCGCGCGTCCTCCGTGTCCCTTCCCGCATCAATATAGTAGCACATTCACCATTTCTTCTTCGTGCTTTCCTGTAATTTGCTTTATATTTTCTGATCCAGGTGTAAGGCTTAGGTTTTCCCTGCAAAAGAGGCGATCTAGGGTTTTCGAAGTTCGATCGTACCCTAATGGCGCTTGAGTGGGTGGTCCTCGGCTACGCCGCCGGCGCAGAGGCGGTTATGCTTCTTCTCCTAACTGTACCGGGGCTCGGCCGTCTCCGCACCGGGCTCGTATCGGTTACACGCTCGCTCAAGCCGATGTTATCGGTTGTTCCCTTCTGCCTCTTCCTGCTAATGGATATCTACTGGAAGTACGAGACTCGGCCGACGTGCGACCAGGAACACGCCTGCACGCCCATGGAACACCTTCGCCATCAGAAATCGATCATGAAGAGCCAGCGAAACGGGCTCTTGATTGCCGCCGCACTGCTCCTCTACTGGCTTCTGTTCTCTGTTACTAACCTCATTGTTCGCCTTGAACAACTTAACCAGCGCGTCGAGAAGCTCAAGCGGCAGGACTGAGACGGTGATCCGTTGGGAAGGAGGGACCGCGTGGTGAAGGCATCATACTTTGATCTTTTCCAATCCCTTTACTTTTGTTTTTCTTTGTTGAATAATAAACCCCTGTTTCAGATTTTCGCCGGCTTTTACTACGCTGTTTATTTTTTTGAGTTTGGTCTCTTTTGGTCTTTGTTTGTGTACACCCGACACCGCTATTGTTCTTTGGGCTGTGTGTTTTAATTATCTTCTACTGCTCTTGTTTGGTAATCGGTTTGAAAGTGATGAGGGGCTCTTTGTCAGAGAGGCTTCTTCAGTACGCACTTTTGATAGTTCTGTTTCTAAACCATTAAAGCGTTTAAACGGTTGAATTATGAGTGATGACGATAATGTCTTTATTTTAGCTATGGTAGATATGTCTGGAATCCAAAGTTTAGACTAGATATTGCATCTGAAGCACACGTACGTGGTATAAATGATAGTTTGTTTAAGTGTTGCCTTTTATCTTAATAGTCTATACAGAACAATTAGTGAAACTCACCTTGTTTTCTATACAGATCACAAGATCACAGACAATCATTCAATCATTCAATTTTTTTTTTTTTTTGGGCTCTTTAATATCTATTCATGGGATATGACTTGTCATATTTTTAATTCATAAGACGTAATTATGTTCTTTAGGAAAAATCTGTCTTTATTTATGGTATGTACATTGTCCTTTGTTTCTTGTAGATAGTCAATGGCTCACTCAGAACAATTCTTCAGATGATTTGCCACTAGACTAGAGTCAACATTTGAGTCAACATTTGTTGAGTGGCAGTGATGATTTGCTTTAAATTTGGAGGAAGTTATTTAAATATCTAGTTTAGTTAGTATGTGTTTGGTCATCGAGGAAAGGGGGGCGGCGGTGGTGAGGTTTTGTTTAATTTTTGGGGATGTATGCCGTGGGTAATGTTCCCACACATGCTCCTGGGCTTCTCTTTTTCATGCGATTCTTGTCATTCCATAAAGCATAATTCAAAGTGTTTAAAATTTCCATGAGCTGCACTCTTTTGTTCCTATTTTCAATAGTGCTGTTTTATAAGCCATATATTCTCATCTTTTATGAAAACTTTATTCTCTTTTCTTTCTATTATTAATATGCATTTACTTTTACAATGTATGAGATCAAAGAAGTTGTTGTTTGTCAAACATGGATACATTTTTTAAACTTGCTGATAATGTTCCCCCACATGCCCCTGGGCTTCTCTATTGTATGTAATTCTTGTCATTTCATAAAGCATAATTGGAAATGTTTTGATTATCCATGGCTGCACTCTTTTGTTTCTATCTTCAATTGAGCTATTTCGTAAGGCCTATGTTTTCATCTTTTATGATAATTTTTTTCTCCTTACTTTCTATGATTAATCTGCATTTACTTTTACAATGTATGTTATCAATCAGTTGGAGCTTTTTGAACAAAAATATTGTTTGAACTTGCTGGTATACCATACCTTTAGTCATATACTAATTAACTATTTATCCATGAAAGGACTCACATCCAAGGGCTTGAGGTTCTCCATCTTTTTTATCACATGTTCCTTTTGCAAGTCCTTTCTAGTTATGTGATAAAATTTGCGATGTTAAGTGCATGCCTCTAGTGGCCTCGTTTTTTGTTTTCACCATAGGCTAGTTTGAGTTAAGCTTGATCATGTAGGTTTGTGATGGGGCATAGGCCTGTCGTTGAAAAGAAACGGTCAAGGGACATAAACAATAGAAATGGAAACTGGAAAAGAAACAGTAAGGAGAAGTTTATTTTATAGTTTTCTCCCTTCCATTTTCCTTAACCATATATATATATATATATATTATAACCTCACCACATTACAAGTTTAGCAAAATTACTAATAACCAGAGAAGGAATAAATGGCTTAATTACAAATTACATAAATGAAAAATATCTAATTAATCGTAGAAATCGTTAAAACTTATAGGAGGTATCATCTTCGTGTTGGGTTAGGTAAGGTGAGCATTATTTGTGTCCGTATTAACTTGCCCCCCTTGAGGAAAAAAAAAACATCGTCCTCAAAGGTTGAAGTTGGGATAAGATTTGCGAAAATCATCCGAAGGATACCAAGTTGAATCATTGGTAAGCCCACTCATTGTATTAACATTTGCTATTCACAAGATGAGTTTTTAGGAGCTTACGAGAGTGGAGGATGGCACCCAATTGATGAGTGATGATTATCAATTTATGTTGGTGGTGATTTAGCAAAATGAAAGTTGTGTTTCTGGTGGTATGATTTCAACTACAAAATGTGGAAGTCTAAATGGATACACAAATGTGATGGAAGCTGTAGACGATAAGTGATGGTCCCAATACACTCCAAAATCTTATATGGACCATAATAACGAAGATACAAGTTAGAGGATGGATTTTGGCGGATTGAAGTTTGGTGATAAGGTTGTAGTTCAACTAAAACACAATCACTTGGTTTGAATTGAAGGTCTTGACAATGTTTGTCCTCTTGTTGTTTCATACTATTCTGTATTGCCATAAGATTTTGCTTGTCATACAGTTGAATATCTATTAATTCAAAGGTTGTCAATGATATGCAATGATGAGGGTGGTGACATAATGTAAAGAATGTCTGCAAGTTATTTGCCATAAATAAGATGAAATGGAGTTAACTCGTTGGAAGTATAATAAGAGATGTTAGTCTAAAAGAAGTATAATAAGAGATGTGATATGATCATTCTGCCCATGGTAGAAATTTCAACAGGAAGACGATACATCCATTGTATAGAAGCGAATATACTATTCTAATGTTCGATTAATAATTTCAATTTGATAATTTATTTGAGAGCGGTTGGCTGTGCAAAGATATAATTTTGTACCCTTTAAACAAAATATTTCTTGTCAAAAGTATCTCTTCAAAGTTTGATTCTTGTTAGATACAGTGGAACAAGAAATATCACAAACTTTATAAATATTCCCAATAAAATAGTTGCCACTTTAAAAATGGTCAATGAGTTAGTATGGGAGAAAAGATGGTGTATTTAGTGAGGCTTTTCGCAACCAACATGATACGCTTCAGAACCAAAATCAACGAACAAACCACTAAATAGGTGGAAGAAACACAAATAAGGGTTGTTCTTACAAAAAATGAAGGAAAACAAGCAAGATACAAGACTAAGTTACTATTCGAGAAGTAGATTGTCTCCTCCACACCTTAGACGTCGTTAGGAACACCACAAGAAGAAAAAAAGCAACAAGCACAACAAAACATGCATAGAAGAAAGTTAACCCTAGATTTCCCCTTAATAGAATCCTCAATTTCTCCTCATTGAGTATGTGATTATGACTCTAGTGGCCCACCTGCTCCGTTCCTTCCTTTGCCGCGGCATGGGTTTGCACGACTGCTTCTTGCGAAGAGAATCGACCTATCTGTGGAGGAGGCAGGCCAATTGGGAGGCATTCGACTGGTCCCTCTTGGATCGGTCCTGCCCGTGGCGTAACAATATTACTCTCCCAAAGAAGTACCTTGCCCTCAAGGTGGAATGATAGAAACTGTATGTGAATCATCTTGTAAGGCTCTCACATTGCTTTATAGTCTGACAACCTTTCCACTTAACCGAGATCTCATTTGCTTCCCCGACTCCTCGACGCACTCCTTTGATCTCTAACGGCTCCAAAAACACTCCCAAGTCCTCTGTCAATGTCGGCGGTAGTATAGACGGGGGTATGATCTCCAAGCACACGTCTCAGCTTTAATACATCTAAGCACGAGTGTAGTGCGAACAATGGCTGTAACCTCAAACATTAGGCCACTATTATAATGTGTGCCGTCACCTTGTAAGGACCAAATTATCTTGGTGAAAGTTATTCTCTCCTCCTGGCCGATGTTTTCTGTTTGTAGGGTCTCAGCTTCAAATAGACCATGTCACCTTGTTCAAATTACATCTCTCCTATGTTCATCCGCTTTCCTCTTCATGATTTAATGAGCTCTCAGTAAATGTTTCTTGAGCTCTACTAGTATCCTACCCCTCCCCTCTAAGTACTCATCAACGTTGGATACCGGTGTGGTACTATACCCATAATGCATTAAATGAGGTGGATCCCGCCCATACAATATGTTGAAAGGGGTAGTTTGTGCTGCGGTGTGGTACAAAGTATTATATCAATATTCAGCTCATGCAATCCTCTTAGCCCATAGCTTCGATGTATCAGATACAAAACAACACATGTATGTCTTCACACGCCTGTTGACTAGATTTGTCCCCCCATTGGTTTGGGGATGATGTGCCGTATTTCTTTTAAAGACTGTCCCTTGTAACCTGATAGCTTCTTTCAGAAGTGGCTGAAGAACACCTTGTCCCCATCTGTACAATCGATTCCGGCACCCTGTGCAAACACACCACTTCCAGTATAAACACCGTCGCGACTGAGACCGCGGTGTAGGGATGTTGTAAAGGAATGAAATGTGCATACTTAGACGACCTACGACTACCATGATCACTGTGAACCCTTATAATTGTGCTAAACTCTATATAAATCCGTATTTATTTCTTTTCAATCATTCACCGGTAATGCTAATGGTTGTTGTAACCCTCCCGGTGTTGTGGTCAAGTGCATATGCCGCTGACACATCAAATTTTTTCATCATATCCTCCATGTTTCTGCGCGTCCCCACCCAATAAAGCTATGCCGCCAGACAACTGTAGGTATTATGCACCCTTGAGTGTCTCCCCATCACATAGCTATGAAACTCGTGCAATAATCTGAGAATATACTTTGACGACTTAGGTAGCACGAATCACCCCTGGTGGAGCAGCTGCTGTCCTCTCAATGCATAGCCTGGATGAAGGTTTTGATCTTGTAGTAATTTGACTCGTTTTCCTCGACTCCTCATCCCTTTCGCTTTTTTGTCTCAAGACATCCCAATCTAGAACCAGGGCGCTGATTGGGCCATCAATTGAGGTTCCTCCACCTTTTTTGACAGCGCGCCATTGTCTAGTTCTTCAATTATGGCCAGTGTTGAATCTCAAAATCATACTCCAATAGCTTGGATAGCCATTTCTGATGCTCCCCAGCCACCATCCGCTACTCTAGAAGATACTTTAAACTCCTCTGATCTATCTTGACCACAAAATATTGTCCCAATAGGTTGGGCCATCACTTCTGAATGGTCATGATAATTGTCATCAATTCCTGTTTATATACTGACCTTAGCCTCCCCCTAGTCGTAAGCACTGGCTAAAGT